TTCCTCCTGGATCTGAGACCAGCGATTGGTCTCGCTGTTCCAGTACCCCTAATCAGACCTTACCGGTAGGCTAAGGAGAGTGATGCCCTTATTGGAGCACACCCTCCAGTCCCCTTTTTGAAGAGGGGAACCACCACCCCAGTCTGCTAATCAAGTGGCACTGCCCCCGATGTCCACACAACATTGCAAAGTTGTGTCAACCAAGACAGCCCCACAACATGCAGAGCCTTTAGGAAATCAGGGTGAATCTCATCCATTCCCGGAGCCCTGCCGCCTTGGAGCTTTTTAACTACCTCGGCGACCTCAGCCACAGTTATGGACAGACCAACCCCAAAGTCCCCCGACTCGGCTTCCTCCATGGAAGATGTGCTGGTGGGATTGAGAAGGTCCAAGAAGTATTCCTTCCACGTTCCGACTACATCACTGGTTGAGGTCAACAGCACCCCACCTTCAGCAAACACAATATTAGTAAAGTGCTGATTTCCCCTCCTCATCCACCTGATGGTTTGCCAGAATCTACTCGGAGCCGGCTGAAAGTCTCTATCCAATGTCTCACCGAACTCCTCCCACATCCAAGCTTTTGCCTCAGCAACAGCCAAGGCTGCAGACCTTTGGCCCTCCAGTACTCCTCAGCTGCTTCCGGAGTCTCACTGGCCAACAAGGCCCCATAGGACTCCTTCTTCAGCTTGGCAATCTCCCTAACCCGAGGTGTCCACCACTGAGTTTGTGGATGGCCACCGCGAGAAGCACTTTGCGACCACATCTCAAGGTAGCCGCCTCAACAATTGAGGAGCAGAACATGGCCCACTCAAACTCAATGTCCCCTGCCTTAGCAGGGATGCGATTAAAGCTCTACCGGTGGTGCAAGTTGAAGATCTTTCTAATAAGTTCTTTTGCCAGGCGTTCCCAGCAAATTCTCACTACACGTTTGTTTACCAGGTCTGTCCGGCATTTTCCCCCACCATCGGATTCAACTCACTACCAGGTGGTGATCAGTTGACAGCTCAGCTCCTCTCTTCACCTGAGTGTTCAAAACAAATGGCCGCAAATCAGATGACACGACTATTAAGTCAATCATCGATCTACGACCCAGGGGTCCAGGTAGTGCACTTATGGACACCCTTATATTCAAACATGATGTTTGTGACAAACTAACTATGACTAGCACAGAAGTTCAACAACAGAACACCGCTCGGGTTCAGCTCAGAGAGGCCGTTTGTCCCAATCATGCCCCGCCAGATTACACTGTCATTACCCACATGGGCATTGAAGTCCCCCTGCTGAATAAAGGAGTCCCCAGCTGGTGCACCTTCCAGCACCCCTGCCAAGGAAGAAGAAGGCTGGATACACTGAACTGCTGTTCGGCACATAGGCACAAACAAGTTAGAGCCTGTCCCCCCAACCGAAGGTGCAGGGAAGCCACTCTCTCATCTAATGGGGAGAATTCCAACACACAGGTTCCAATTTGGGGTGTTACAAGTAGAACCACACCAGCTTTGCATCTCTCACTATGGGCAACTCCAGAGTAGAATAAGGTCCAGCCCCTCTCAAGGAGATCAGTTCCAGAGTCCATGCTGTGCATTGAGGTAAGCCCAACTACACCTAGTTGGTACCTCTCAACCTCACGAACAAGCTCAAGCTCCTTCCCTGCCAGAGAGGTTACATTCCATGTCCCAAGAGCCAGCTTTGGTAAGGCAGGGTGCACCTAGTGGCCTTAGGCCACTGTCCATGGCATCATGCACCTGACTTTTATGGCCCTTCCTGCAGGTGGTGAGCCCACAGGAAGGCAAACCCATGTTTCTGCATCAAGCTGGGCCCAACCAGGCCCCATGGGTAGAGACCTGCAGTCACCAGGAACTTGCCGATGAGCCGCTCCCCTAGGCCTGGGTCTAGGGTGGGGCCCCGGTAACCTACGTCTGGGCAAGGGACACTGAGTTCCTTGATTTGTGTTGTCCATCAAAAGTCGTCTGAATCGCTCTTTGTCTGGCCTGTCACCTAGGACCAATCTGCCTTGGGAGACCCTATCAGGGGCAATTGCCCCCGACAGCATAGCTCCTAGGACCATTCAGGCGCACAAACTCTTCCACCATGATAAGGTGGCAGTTCAACGAGGCTGTAACATCAAATTACAAAAAAGTGAAGGGGCCTGACTGCTTCCTGAAGATGATGTAAGTTTTTCCACAGTAAACCACCAGGTTGTCCTGCAGTCTGAGCTGACATCAGCAGTTCTTTCTCTGCCTTCCTGCTCCTCATCCTGTTTCACAAACTAGATCTACAGGAAATCATCTGTTTCCAAGTCGAGCTGTCCTGACTGCTTAATGTCTTCCAGATCCACACCAGCTGGGCCAGCTCAGGGTAAAATGCAGCAAAGTTTGTTTTCTGATTCTCAGGATTCTCAGCTGGCGCTGTTTAAAACCTGCCGTTGTGAATACTCGTTAAAACTCTGAGTTTACCATTTCTAAAAATAAATGTCTGATAGTTTTAAAGGATTGAACCCCAAAATAAAACAAAAATTCCCAAAAGTTATCCAGCTGGAGACTTCGATCCAACGGTTGATTTCTGAGAGTTTGAAGTTCATCCATGGTTTCATGGATGGCAGACAGGTAAAAACATTACCACAAACCTCCACCTTTCAGCTGCAAATGATAAACATTTAGCAGTAAATCTGTAAAACATGAATTGAATCTCGCTATTAACAGCTAATCAACAATGGTTGTAATTCAGTCAGATTAAGCAGGCATTAATGTACCTGTGACATCAAATTTATCATAAATATGTCTAAAGGAGGCAGCACGGTGGCACAACTGGTAGAGCTGCTGCCTGTAGTGAACCTGATCTGACCCTGATCTGACCCTGATGACCTCAAACCTATCAGATGGACAGAGACTGTTATTTTCATTGATCTGAATACAGTCTGAGCCATCTGGTGACTTTCTTTCTTGAATTAATCAAGCAGAAAAGACAATTCTCTATAATCATTACTGTTTTACAAATGTTTAATAATCAAATTGTGTTAGTTCCACTCAATGTTACAGGTTGAAAAGAACTACTCATTTTTATTTTACATAAACAGTAAGTAATGATTTTTATTCCTCATTTAAAGAAGAAATCAGGTTAATATGCATTTCTTGATTTTCTGTCTGAAATGAGCCAAGTTTTGTAAGTATGTTAAAGGTCGGTTTTCGGTCAACTAAAATGTTTACCGAGAAAGATGTCATGTTTAAACTTTTTCAGAAGATTACCAAGTGTGAGACTCCACGAAGTCTGAAGTCCTACAATAATCTTTCTGTTCGTTACTAAACAATCCTTGATTTTTAATAACATCTTACATCATACACCACACCTCTATTCCTGGTCCATCGACCAATCAAAAGCTCTCAAATGAACCGGAAGTCGACCCATTTAAAATGTGGCAACTTCCCAGTTCATGTTAGAATTCAGGAGAATTCCGGAGAATTCCAGAGCCTGAGGAGATGAAGAACTAGAGAGTTGCTGGAGTTGAAAGATTCTGTTAGAGTCTGAGAAGTTCTGAAGAATGAAAGGAGTTCAGAGTTCTTGGGTGCAAACGCGTTCAGGATGATCCAGAGACGTTTTGGGATTATAATTTCTGTTTGAACACCACGTACGACTCTCTGAGGGTTTGGCAGTCTCACGGAGACGCTGAAAAGAGTCAGAAAGGAACCGCTCCGACGCTGATAAGATCATCAACAGGTAGAGGGTTCTATTTTCGACCAAGTGTACCGTGGGCAAGCTGATATCTGATGGAGCGTGCAATTTCTGGTCAAACAGATTAATTCCCTCACATATTTCTCTGTAAGATAAATCTCCATTTCATCTTAAAACTCTCCTCTCTCTCTTAAAATCAGTACAGATATTTTAGAAATATCTGAAGCAAAGTCCTCAAT